GCGTAGAAAGTCTGTTTGCCACATGGGCTGTGAGGTGTCAGAACATCCGAATAACCAGCTAGCACACCAAAGGAAAACCAACTTGTGACTGCTTATCCTTCTCAGTTACACCTACAATTTAAAAAATGATGGGGAGGAATGCACATCTGCACAGACTATCTGCAAAACATCTTACCCAGACCTATCACTAAATGTACCATATTTAAGCGAATCTAATGCGCACCTCAATTTTCAAAACCTTGAAACCAAAAAAGTACTTGTTGGCGAATGTAAATATGCCATCGAATCTAATGCGCACCCTAATTTTCGCAATGTGATTTGGCCAAAAAAGGTGCGCGTTGCATTCAAGTAAATGCGGCACAACAGCAGCTCTGGAAAATGATGTGATCCATGTTCTCCACTGGTGACCACCCATGTTTGTGTAGGTGGTGGTAGAGAGGAGGAGGAGGAGGAGGAATAATAATAATAATAATAATAATAATTTTTATTTATACCCCACCCTCCCCAGCCAAGGCCGGGCTCAGGGCAGCTAACAAGCAATAATAAAAACAAGTTGAATGAATACAACTTAAAAACAAGATTAAAATACAACATTAAAATATTGAAACATTAAAATATTAAAATGCAGCCTCATCACAGGAGGAGAAAGGAAAAAGAAAAAGAAAGAGGGGGAGGGAATCAAATTGGCTCCAAGCCAAAGGCCAGGTAGAACAACTCTGTCTTACAGGCCCTGCGGAAAGAAATCAGATCCTGCAGGGCCCTGGTCTCATGAGGCAGAGCGTTCCACCAGGCCGGAGCCAGTGTTGAAAAGGCCCTGGCTCTGGTTGAGGCTAATCTGAATTCCTTAGGGCCCGGGACCTCTAGAGTGTTGCTATTTATGGACCTTAAGGTCCTCCATGGGGCATACCGGGAGAGGTGGTCCCGTAGGTACGAGGGTCCTAGGCTGTGAAGGGCTTTAAAGGTCAAAACCAGCACCTTAAATCTGACCCTGTACTGCACCGGGAGCCAGTGCAGCTGGAAAAGCACTGGGTGAATATGCTCCCATGGCAGAGACCCCGTGAGGAGCCTCGCTGTTGCATTCTGCACCCGCTGGAATTTCTGGGACAGCTTCAAGGGCAGCCCCACGTAGAGCGAATTACAGTAGTCAAGCCTGGAGGTGACCGTCGCATGGATCACTGTAGACAGGTACATTGCTACCTGTACTTGTACATTGGTGACTGCCCATGTGGCAATATGGACATTAAAGTCAGAGGCACATTTACTGCCACTAGTAATACCATCCATGGGGTTTTGCCCTTATTGACAGAACATTGAAGAACAAGGTTTCCAAGCACCCTCCTTTTCTGTGCAACAGGTATATTCGCTGAGATTCTGTCATATTTCATGTCCCTCTTTTCCATTTTTTTGCAGAAATAAAAGGCTGCCTTTCTCGCACTCATCCATAAAAATAGCAAGCGGCAAACCTCACATTTTGTTGCTAGGGTATCCATGCTTAGCTGAGTGTCTTTTCAAAAAGTGCTCATTATCTAAGTGCATCTCCCAACAATCTGTTTTCTGCTCAATGAGCAACAGAAAATATTTACCCAGCAGATAATGTTGATGCGGCAAGGAAGTGAGAGCTGACATTTTCAATTGCCTTTATTTCCAGGGGAAATAATGACCTCTAGCTGATATGAAGGGACACACGGAATAAAAACTGAGTTTGCAGACTGAAGGGCAGCAGCTGCTGCGATGAGAAAATTACATTGCTTTCTACCAACTTCCCCACTACCTGTCTGCATGGCAACGATTGTACTTAGATCCTAAAATTGCTTCCATGGTCAGACGTCCGAGAAACGGAACTTCCAAGCAATTAACTATCGCCGTACAACTTCCATGCACGGTGCGGAGACACCAATATTTTCTGCCAAAAAATACATTAGCCTGTGGAAGACAAGCCTCCTTTTATGTGTTCTTTACCCGCCCCCATTCCACAACGCAAAATGAATCCCCAAATGTTTTGATCCAAGGAACTCTGCATTGGGGGAGATTATCGAAGGTGGGAGGGAGCAGGGGCACCAGCTATAGCGGCGGAAAGGGCTTTCAGACCCCTTAATATTTCCAGGCAGGGGACTGGCCCCCCCACCTAATACTGAGCCTTCATCCCCCTTGGGTGAATGCTCGTCCTCCGGGTGGGAGGTGCGGAGGGTGATTTTCACCCTCTGTGCTCCCCGCCATGATTGCCAGATCACCTTCCCAGAAAGGTGATCCTCAAAGGGATGCCCATGAGGACTGGGGGAGGGGCATCACGCATGTGACATCATGCACCTGCAACATGGGCCCCGAATGTTGGGCCCAACTCGGCGCACCTGGGAGGGACCTTTCTCCTCGGCACTCAGCCTGATCATATTTCCCTAACTGAGGTCAACTCATGTACAGTGGTACCTCGGGTTACATACGCTTCAGGTTACAGACGCTTCAGGTTACAGACTCCGCTAACCCAGAAATAGTACCTCGGGTTAAGAACTTTGCTTCAGGATGAGAACAGAAATCGTGCTCCAGCGGCATGGCGGCAGCAGGAGGCCCCATTAGCTAAAGTGGTCTTCAGGTTAAGAACAGTTTCAGGTTAAGAACGGACTTCCAGAACGAATTAAGTACTTAACCCGAGGTACCACTGTAAACCAGGCTTTTAATGCAGCTATCTGGCAGTGAGATAAAAGTAAGGTAAAGGTAAAGTGACCCCTGATCATTAGGTCCAGTCGCGGACGACTCTGGGGTTGCGGCGCTCATCTGGCTTTATTGGCCAAGGAGGCCGGCGTACAGCTTCTGGGTCATGTGGCCGGCATGACTAAGCCGCTTCTGGCGAACCAGAGCAGTGCATGGAAATGCCGTTTACCTTTCCTCCAGAGCGGTACCTATTTATCTACTTGCACTTTGACGTGCTTTTGAACTGCTAGGTTGGCAGGAGCAGGGACCAAGCAACAGGAGCTCACCCCGTCGCAGGGATTCGAACCGCCGACCTTCTGATCGGCAAGTCCTAGGCTCTGTGGTTTAACCCACAGCGCCACCTGCGTCCCTTCTGAGATAAAAGAAGCAGACAACAAATATTTTCGGGTACATAACTGCCCTATAATATTGGTATTTTGAAGCATTTTGGTTTTCTACATTCTTAAGCTGTGGTCTTAAATTATGGACCGGCTACATATCCTGGTTGACAGACGGATATATCAAAAAGTACTCGGAGTCACGCTGAACTGTGACGCTTCTGTCACAAATGTCTAAATGGAGACGAAAGTACCAGACGGTTCTTACTCCTGCTACGTTCCTTCTGTTCCAGACTGCCTTCCATGCAAGGTGAATTTACAACAATCTTAGCTGACCTCAGCAGCGCAAGGCTCACATTCACGTAAAGTCAATAAATTCCACCGTACAGGAGAATCAAAGGATAATTGGTTTCATTTGCATGTTAAAATACTTCCAAGGCATATTGTCATCATTTTAAAAAATTCATAACATTTCTCTGAATATGATTTCGAGCTTCGAAGAGAGAATACAAAATGAGGGACATTAAAACTTGCACTGTAAATTTCTTGGGCTGTAACTCTTCTCCCCTGGACACCCACCCACTAAGCTCATAGCCTTTATCCATAACCAAGAATTGGGTGCGTTAATGGGGGCGGGGAACGAAAATGTAAATTTTCCGCATGAAAACAAAGCTTGCTTTTCCTCTGCAATCAAGAAAGTTAATGTGACCTTGCAGGTTAAAGCTACGCAGGGAGCCCTTATAATGAATGTATAATGGGGCCAGTTCAGAAAAGAAATTGAGCATATAACCATTGACCCAGGATGCAAGAATCCGAGCCCCAGATTATCTGGGGAAGTGGAAAGAGAGTCTCTGTCTGCAACTACACGTTGAGTGAACCAGGTGCTCTGTATGAGTGTTTCAACCATGCAAAATCTCAGATAGTGCTCTCTTCCTCCCTTTTAGAAGGAAAGATAATTTTCGCAAGGCTTCTCCATGGGTGTGCTTGTTTATTATGTATTTGGTTGTTGCAAATTATAACCCACCTTTTTTCTCTGAGGTGGGGTAGCTGGTCATTCACTTCCCCATTTAATCCTAACAACAACCTTATGAGGTAGGTCAGACTGGCCCAAGGTCAAACCCAGTGATCTCCATGGTGGAGTGGGGATTCCGACCCTGCTCTCCCAGGCCCATACGCTTCCAAGCAATGGTGTTATCCTTGCAAGTGCATGAGCTGAAGCCTACAGTGAAATGAATAATAATTTAATAATAATAATTTATTATCTATACCCAGCCCATCTGACCGGGCCTCCCCTGACACTCTGGGCGGCTTCCAACAAAATATTAAAATACAGTAATGCATCAAACATTAAAAGCTTCTCGAAACAGGGCTGCCTTCAGATGTCTTCTAAAAGTCTGGATGTTGTTTTGTCTTTGACATCTGATGGGAGGGCGTTCCCCAGGGCGGGTGCCACTACCGAGAAGGCCCCCTGCCTGGTTCACTGTAACTTGGCTTCACGCAGTGAGGGAACTGCCAGAAGGCCCTCAGCACCGGACCTCAGTGTCCGGGTAGAACGATGGGGGTGGAGACGCTCCTTCAGGTTTCCTGGACCGAGGCCGTTTAGGGCTTTAAAGGTCAGCACCAACACTTTGAATTGTGCTCGGAAACATACTGGGAGCCAATGTAGATCTTTCAAGACTGGTGTTACGTGGTCTCGGCGGTCGCCCCTAGTCACCAGTCTAGCTGCCGCATTCTGGATTATTTGCAGTTTCCGGGTCACCTTCAAAGGTAGCCCCACGTAGAGCGCATTGCAGTAGTCCAAGAGGGAGATAACCAGAGCATGCACCACTCTGGCGAGACAGTCTGTAGGCAGGATTGAAGACCAATCCTTATCGGAGCTGGAGGATAGGTGAAAGTGAGTTGGGTGAGATTAGGTGAAAGTGTGCAGTATGCTTGGCACAGGCAAAGAACCCTGCCTGCCTTCTGTGTGGAAGGGCTGCAGCTCAGAGATAGAGCATCTGCTTTCCAAGCAGAAAGTCTTGGGTTCAATCCCCGCCATCTCCAGGGAGGGCTGGCAAAGACTGAAAACCTAGAGAGGTGCTGCCAGCCAGTGCAGACAATATTGAGTTAAATTTGACCAATAAGGCGATTTCTTACGAGTTGGAGTGGGCAGGCAGGCATTCCACAATGATCCTCCTTCTAGTCATCTAGGGTCACCTAGCCCAACCCTGTGCAACGCAGGAATCTTTTGCTCAATGTGGGGCTTGAACCTGAGATTAAGAGTCTTGCGCTCTACTGACTGAGCCATTCTGAACTCCCAATTCCAGTCGTTTTAAGGAATCCTATCTAACTACACAAAGGACGCGGGTGGCGCTGTGGGTTAAACCACAGAGCCTAGGACTTGCCGATCAGAAGGTCGGCGGTTCAAATCCCTGCCATGGGGTGAGCTCCCGTTGCTCAGTCCCTGCTCCTGCCAACCTAGCAGTTCGAAAGCACGTCAAAGTGCAAGTAGATAAATAGGTACCACTCTGGCGGGAAGGTAAACTGCGTTTCCGTGCACTGCTCTGGTTCGCCAGAAGCGGCTTAGTCATGCTGGCCACATGACCCAGAAGCTGTACGCCGGCTCCCTCGGCCAGTAAAGTGAAATGAGTGCTGCAATCCCAGAGTCGGCCACGACTAGACCTAATGGACCTAAAAGGGGTGCTACCCTCTTGTCTGGCAAGGGAAAAGGGAAGAGATCTCAAGTTCACACCTTTTCCAGATATTTCCCTGGCTTCAGTAAAGGTAAAGCGACCCCTGACCATTAGGTCCAGTCGTGGCCGACTCTGGGGTTGCGGCGCTCATCTCGCTTTACTGGCCGAGGGAGCTGGTGTTTGTCCGCAGACAGCTTCCGGGTCATGTGGCCAGCATGACTAAGCCACTTCTGACTAAACCAGAGCAGCATGCGGAAATGCTGTTTACCTTCCCGCCAGAGTGGTACCTATTTATCTACTTGTACTTTGACGTGCTTTCAAACTGCTAGGTTGGCAGGAGCAGGGACTGAGCAACAGGAGCTCACCTGTCGCGGGGATTCGAACCACCGACCTTCTGATCGGCAAGCCCTAGGCTCTGTGGTTTAGACCACAGCACCACTCGCATCCCAGCCAGGTGCTAAGTGCTGCTTCGTGGGTGCAGGCAGCCTCTCTGTGTAACTTGAGTCTGCCAAAGGCACATGGCAGGGCAGAATGAGTGTGGGGGTTTTGGGAAATGGAAACAAAAAGTTTAGGAACCCATGACACGGTGCCTGTGTGCGTAATGCATGCTTTAGATTTTCTCTTTCCCCCCATTATTAAACTCATAAATATTTTATCAAATCATAAAATATTAACCTTTTTTTTTTCTCAGTTGCATGGAAAATACTGGAGAAAGTCTTTGCTACCTGGAAATGTTCCTTGTCTTTTTCAGAGAATGCAAATGATGAAGCTCTAAAGCTGCATCCAAAGGGACAATTTCCTGCAAAACCCCCATCCCCATCCATAATGCATAGGTAAAGGTAAAGGGACCCCTGACCATTAGGTCCAGTCGTGACCGACTCTGGGGTTGCAGTGCCCATCTTGCTTTATTGGCTGAGGGAGCCAGCGTACAGCTTCCGGGTCATGTGGCCAGCATGACTAAGCCGCTTCTGGCGAACCAGAGCAGCGCACGGAAACGCAGTTTACCTTCCCGCCGGAGCGGGACCTATTTATCTACTTGCACTTTGATGTGCTTTCGAACTGCTAGGTTGGCAGGAGGAGGCACTGAGCAACGGGAGCTCAACCCCGTCGTGGGGATTCGAACCGCCGACCTTCTGATCGGCAAGTCCTAGGCTCTGTGGTTTAACCCACAGCGCCACCCGCCCATAACACATAATAGTAGCCAATTGCATTTTATTGAGGAGGACGTTCCAAACTGAGAGCCGGGCAGATGTCCCTCTCACTCCCTGGGTCCCACCACTCCTCATGGTGGACAACAACCTTTCCAAAATGGGGCACCTATTGAGATGCAACTACTTGTCGCAGCACAAAGAGAAAATCAAAATTGTCGTGGAATTTGGGCACTTTTTCCACCAGAAAGGGCAAAGAACAAGTTGTAAGTCAATGAAATTGTGAACAGCATCTAAACATTTCCCCCCCTCTGGTCTCATGACAGCAGATCTTGAGGTCACCCAAAGACTCGTATAAGATTCAAGGCAGGCAAAAGGAAGTACTAATTCACACAAAACACATAATTAACTTATGGATTTCACTGCCACAAGATATGGTGATGGTTTCAAGTTAAATGGCTTTTAAAAATAAAAAGTTAGAGAAATCCATGGTGGATGGGCCTATCTGTGACTCTTCACCACAACTGCTTAACAGGACTTCCATGTTCAGAAACACTCATATTATTATCAGATGATGGGGGTAGACAGCTCAGGAAGTCTTGTTATTTAATGCCCTGATTGTGTCTCAGAGGGATCTGAATGCTCACAGTTACTACTGGAAATGGAATGTCAGACTAGATCAGTGTTTCCCAAACTTAGGTCTCCAGCTGTTTCCAGACTACAACTCCCATCATCCCTAGCTAGCAAGACCAGTGATAAGGGATGATGGGATGTAGCCTGAAAACAGCTGGAGACCCAAGTTTGGACTAGATGGACCTTTGGTCCAATCCAGCAGATAAGTTTTGTATGTTCTTAGCTAGGAGGACCACACCATCCACAACTAAAACACGATTGTGTGAATGGGGCCAGGAAGAAGTCCACAGAGTGCTCTGATGGAGAGTTAGGCAGGTCTCACAGGACTTCTGAAAATGTAGCTATTTCCGTTCTGCTGGTCAAAGGTGGCCCTACAGATGTTGCAAGACCACAACTCCTATCATCCCTGATCACAACATCTGGAGGGCCACACAGGTTTCTCACCCCTGCTAAAGGAGAAGTCTCACCAGCTCACAGCCCAAGTAGAGACAAGTTGTATATGATGGGTGAGACGGGCAGAAGGACATGTGGGGAGATGGAAGCAGCATTTCTGGCGCATTGTATCTTCCCTCTGAGAAACGCTGATGCTTTAGTGCAATGGATCACGGATGGTCACAGAACATACAGATGGGAGATTTGGCACCTACATGCCAAACACAGCAAGGCGTGTTACCTTGAGGCCATTAACCACCGCTTCAGGCTGCTGAGAAGGTGAGGAGGCCTGGTCATTGACGCTCGGAGAGCAGACATTCCCATCTGCCCTTGTTGGCATCCTAATGGGACCCTTTGTAGAAAACCAAAAACTATTTAATAGCGGAATGTGCACCACGCTCATCAAGATGAACAGTTTCCCCAACCACCTCTAGCTCCTCACTGCAAAGCCCATTGGGCATGTACATACTCTGAGTACATGTTTAATTCAATCACCTTATAATTGCGCCCTTGGGATGCTAGGCTGTCCCAGGGCAACCAACTGTCTCTGTAAGTTCCTGTAAGATTCTCGGTCATATTGAGATGATGACAAGCAAAGCGAGCAAAAATCTCCTGTCCGAATCTAGAGATAGCTAAATCATGTTTTACGTCCCACTGAAATCAAACTCATTGCAATTAACATGTCTTACTGTAATTGTAATTTATTTATTACGGTCAAAAACCAGCTCACATAACATAACACACTAAAAACAGCGTTCATAAAAATAAAATATACAATCGGAGCAGATTGCAGCAGATTGCATGAGTTAAAATTGAGATATATACATACACCCATACAACTGAGATTTGGGCTACCATAAAAAATTGACCCTGAGGCGCCCCAAAGGGCAACTTCAGCATTTCCCTAGTAAGCTATATTATTCTAGAGGATGATCTGTGCCTACAAATCTGGTCACAGAATCTGGCTACCAGCCAGGTCATCTTGTGATCTTTGCCTAAGAGGAGAGAATTAAGTTCAGACTTGTCTGAAAGATCAGCGAGCCTCTTCAGCAAAGGATCAATGGTGTCTCTACGAATCTCAACATAAAAAGGACATCTAAAAAATACATGTTCGGGGCTTCCTATTTTCCCTAATGGGCAGGCGCAAAGTATCTGTGTGTACAGGACTCTTCTATAGGAGCCTTCCAGAACTGGTGAGGGCAAGGCTATTCTATTTTATTTATTAAATTTATGTACTGTCCTTCAACATAAGATCTCAGGGCGGTTCACAGAATAAAATGCAAGACAAAAACACAGGTAAATAATTAAAACAAAGCAGCGGAAAGACAATACCCCCCCCTCCCACAGGGACATATTAAAAGGCTGTGGAATATTAATAAGCCAAAGGCCTGGTTGAAGAGGAACATTTATATATAATGAAGGCACCAGGCAAACTTCCCTGGAGAGAGCATTCCACAAATGGGGAGCCAGCACAGAAAAGGCCCTTCCTCGTGTTGCCACCCTCTGGACCTCATGTGAAGTAGACGCACAAAGAAGGTCCTCAGATGATGAATGCAGAGTCCAGGATGGTTTATATGGGGAAAGGTGGTCCTGGAGGTCTTACGGTCCTGAGCCGTTTTAAGGTATTATGGTCCAGAGCCATTGAAATTCTGATTTCAACAGGATGGAAGTGCAACTGGCTTTGCAAGATCAGAGCCCAGGGTTTTATTTTTGAGATCACAGAGACCTAATACAGGAAGTAGCATACACAGTCCTCATAAGGAGGGAAGACATTGCAATGCTAACAAAAAGGCAAGAGAACAATACTAAACGGGTTCAAATGTAGGATGGTTTAACGGGGCACCCCACATCCTTTGGTCATTTTACATTTGATTTGCAAACCATGCTAGAGAGGTTGGTTGAGGGCTCACAGCCGTTTGCCGCTTTCAAGTTAAATGAAATTTTGCCCAAGCAGCTACTGACTAAACTGTCTTATTGCCACGGAATATTGAGAGACATTCTAACTTCTGAAGAATGAGATTTAAGACCAAGTTAAATGTGATTTTTTACAGGTGTCATTCATCAGCTGTATGCCTTGTATCCTATTTCCAGCTGATGAAGACTATTACAAAACAGTAGTATCATTCCAGAGACACTGTCCTTTTGAGGCTTTTGAGAGGTCTTCCGTCGAAACTTTTGAAAGACTATTGAGAGACTTTACTTTTGAAACTTTTGAGATGTCTTCCTTTGAAAGATTGTTGTGAGACTGTCCTTAGACATCTGTTTTGAACACATGACTTGACGGTTCTCGCTACCACTCTGTTATATTGTACATATGAACTTTGATTGGCTTATTCCTACAATTTGAACATTATCATTATTCTATTATATATTCTCTACTAACTATTAACCTACATGTTGTGTTTGTATTGTTGTGACGGAATATTCAGAGACATTCCAACTTCTGAAGAATGAGGTTTAAGACCAAGTTAAATGTGATGGCCGTCACAAAGAGGCCATCAAAAATGGTTCAGGAGCCCAACATGGTGGACATAACATTGGAAAGCATATTTGTGCCCATGCAGTGGCTCCTACAAGGCTAGCATTTTAATCCCAGCGTTCTGCGACCTTTGAAACAGCCAGGCCAGTGTGCAAATACCAGTGCGCACAAGGGCCAGCGCTTGTTGAACATTAAGTGGAGTGCTTGCATTAGAATGTGTTTTAAAATGGCTTATTCAACTTAGTTCTCACTGAGATAGTAAGGCTATGCTTCGTTTACTGTTTCAGACCGCAAGTGGTAGCCCAACAAGGAGTGGGAGAATCTGTCTGTTTCAATTTCCCTCAGTTTCTCTTTTTCCCCAATCCTGAATTCAGATCTCCACATTTCCACATGAGGTTTTTTTTGGGGGGGGAGCAGGGGAGCAGGAGGGAGGGAATACTTTTTTTAAAATCCTCATGAAAATTCATCAGCATTTTAGTGCGAATTTTTCCTTATATACACATTTGTATGATTATTTTTTTTTTGGCCAAATATACACATTTTTGCAAAGGAACATACATCCGTGTTAACAGGGAAGAAGTCAAATAATATACAATGGCTTTGGCAGAGGAATCTCTGAGGCAGGAATGGGCAGACGTTAGATCGGAGGGTGATTTGCAGTAGATCAGCAAAGGTTCCTGGCTCCTAACAATCGCAACAGCAAACCGACTATTCCTCCCTTAAATTAGGTTGCTGAAATGAAGAACACTAAACAGGAGTGTGAAACATTGTGGGAAAGGACTGTAGGAGCTCAGTTCAATTCTGGTACTGAAAACAAATTCCTAGCCTCAGAATGTGCTCAGAGGCATTTTGTTTTTTCAAACCATTTCTTCTGCATCTGCCTCTGCTTGGTACCTCTTGGGGTGCTAGTAAAAAAAGATGAAGATCTGTGAAGGCTGCCCACTCCTGCACTAAGACTCTCCCTTTTTCTTTTCCTACACTGTTTTTTTCTTTCTTTCCTCCTTATTTGCTAATCCCCCTGGCAGCGGAACATTCATCTCATTCCAGCACAATGTAATATGTATTTTTATATACATATTTCTTTTCATGCCACAAAAGCCAGAACAAATAATACATTCCTTGTGTGAGTCATTCTACCTGCAAAGTCCCTTTTCCTCCCCAACATCACATTTTAAAATAGCCAAAGAATTTCAGGCCCCAGCATGCATTTCAGACAAAAGCACTTTAGTTTGAGGCAAATCAACTTCCTCCTTCCACCAGAGGTGGGTTGCTGCTAGGAGAAAGAAAAGGAACAAGAATGGGCAACAAATGCTCAGTTTCTAAGTCAAAGCTTAATTAAGACTGCAGCCCTATGCACAATTATTTCGGGCAGGTTTGCACATGATTTAATAAACTCATATCCCCGAACATTTCTCCAATGAAAACAGGAACATCCTGTTTCTTCCTATTAGTAGTAATACAGCCGTGCCTTGGTTGTTCGACTTCCGAAAACGTTTGACAACCAAGGCGCGGTTTCCGATTGGCTGCAGGAGCTTCCTGCACTCAATTGGAAGCCATGTTGGATGTTTGGCTTCCAAAAAACGTTCGCAAACAGGAACACTCACTTCCGGGTTTGTGGCGTTCAGGAGCCAAGATGTTCGAGTTGCAAGGTGTTCGGGATCCAAGGTACGACTGTGGTCGTAATATTTTTAAAATTTATATCCCACTCATTTGACTGGGTTGCTCCAGTCACTCTGGGTGGCACAAAAACATAATAAAACATTATCCTGAAAGATCTTCATTGGCTCCCAATACGTTTCCGAGCACAATTCAAAGTGTTGGTGCTGACCTTTAAAGCCCTAAACGGCCTCGGTCCAGTATACCTGAAGGAACATCTCCACCCCCATCATCCAGTCCGGACACTGAGGTCCAGCGCCGAGGACCTTCTGGCGGTTCCCTCCCTGCGAGAAGTGAGGTTACAGGGAACCAGGCAGAGGGCCTTCTCGGTAGTGGCACCTGTCCTGTGGAACGCCCTCCCAGCAGATGTCAAGGCAATAAACAACTATTTTACTTTTAAAAGGTGGTATAGTTACTTATCTCCTTGGCTAAGGGGTTGCATAACTCCATACCCGCCAACATTTCTCCAATGAAAATAGTGATGTCCTAAGGAAAAGTGGGACATTCCAGGATCAAATCAGAAACCAGGATGGCTTCTGTAAATCTGGGACTGCCCCCCGAAAAATAGGGACACTTGGAGGGTGTGTAAACTATGGTT